TGTGTACGTGAAACATATGAAAATTCAAGTTCACTCCAGTCTAGCGAGGTATTAAAGGCTGTTTTGCAACCACAACTCCACCGAGAGCTTTGAGAAACTCAGCTGCAGCTTCTCAGTGGACGTTGGGTCCACTCCTTTTCAAAAAGAAATGTCATGTCTTTATGTTGCATTGATAAAACAAGGCTGGATACAGTGCTTTCTATCATGTTTTATTGGTTGTGTTTTCTTATCTACAGCTGCGCCAGAAACAGGGAGTGGCCGCAAAAATTAATTCTTAGAAAGCCTGGCCTGTGACCCCTTTTTAAAGATAGAGCAGATAGACTTGTCTGACTGTATTGCGAGCTTTGTATTTTTGAAAGCAACATTTATCATGGTATATGAAGGCCTGAGCTATTGACCTAGTTGTACTCAAATACAGTGAGAAGAATGAGGATGAGTGGCAAGAAGAGTCAGACCTATTTTTCTGGTGTAAAATCCTGCTCAGCATCTTTGATGTGGGATCCTTTTTTTTGTTTTGTTTTTACAACAAATGCTTATTTTTATGGTCATGGCCTCAAATTCAAATTCAGCCCTGGAGGATAAGTTACATGAAACAGAAGCTATAAGTAAGATAGACAGTGATACACACTTATAAATGATGGGCAACACCATGAGACATTTGGCAGAGAAATCCAAGATTGTACCCTACAGCATCAACCCCCCCCCCCCACCAAAAATAAGTCTATTATTTATTCATAATGTTAATTTAGAGCCAGCATTGTCAGTGTGACTTTGCATACCAATCAGATATCATTATTGCTGTTGTGTACTAGCAACGTAACCGTCTGAGTATGAGGGTCGCAGCCTCAGTATTTAGAAAATCTAAATCTGTTTCCATCCTTCTGAGTTCTTACAGCAATATGTGATTGGTGAACATCTAACTCCAAAATCTGAGCTGAGCATTAATATGCTGATATAACAGTCTTCTGGGATCGATTCTTGTACCTGGCTGCAGGGATTTACTCCCATGCAGCCACAAGAGTTTTAGTGAGATTGGGCAGTGATGGTTTTTTTTTGTTGTTGTTGTTTTTTGCTATAACACAGTATGGCATCCAGAAAGTGTTGTAATTCATTGCAGAGGTGCTGGATGAGGTTGAGGTCTGTGCTCTGTGCTGATCAGTCAGGTTCACCCACAGCAACACTCAAAGCAAATCATTGCCACAAAGCTGGAAGCGCACCGCTGCCTAAAAATATCCATGTATGCTCTAGCATCAAAGTGAGACTATAACTTTTGCTGAGCAGAGGCAACAGCTGCCTCGACAGCTACGAATGGTAATTGCAGGACGCTGGCACTTATTAGTTTAACACTCAAAAAAAATCAGATTCGCCAGGACTGTGTGTGTGTGTGTGTGTGTGGTTTGATCAGATTTGATTTACAGAGCTGGCAACATATGCAAATAAGGCTACAACTGTCATCACATTTGGATTCAAATATAGCTCAGTCCTGACTGCTGTATGAAAATACTGTACGTGACATCACCTTCGTCAAATCAGAGAGAAGAGCACAGGCAAAGCACCACATCTCTCGTCTGTTATGATTATATAAATAATCAAAACAGTCTGGAATTTGGCAGAAAAATTTGCATTGATGTGGGATCCCACTGCTCATAGTAAAAAAACTGATAGTGAAAATAGGCGTTCAGGGTCTTTAAGACTGAATTCCCTTAAGGTGAACTAAGGGGCCTGGACCAAGCCATGAAAAACAGCCCCACACCAAATACACAGTTAAGTATTGAGACAGAACATGTGTCCGCATCCTTTTGGCCCAGTTGTGTTGCAATCAAGTAAAAACCTGACAGCGCAACTGTATTACAGAGAAAATAGCTCGATCAGCCAGATGAGTTCTCTGTCATTAAGATGGTTTAATTAATATATCAGCCTTTGTTTATTACTGTATGTGGGCCTGGCTGTTGTGTCTGTGTGTTAGTCCATGTGAATGTTTGTGTGTGTGTGTGTGTGTGTGTGTGTGTGTGTGTGTGTGTGTGTGTGTGTGTATGGGAGGAGTAGGTATTGACAGATGGCGTGCTCTCTGTGAACAGAGGAGCTTCTTAATCGAGAGAAAGAAAGAGAAAGCGAGAGTGAGGGAGTTGGCACCGTCCCGAGCTGCTCTGCCTCAGTTTGATAGAGAGAGGCGTATTTACTCGGTCACAGTTTTCCTCCTGGAACGTTCCATCAAACTAATCGATGTCCACTGTGTTCGTACTCCTTCGCTTGCAAAGATTACATTCCCCCTCTCTTTGTTTATCTCCCTGTGCGTTGCTGTTTCCATTCTTCCTCCTCATCCCTCAATCAGACTGTGACAGGTGGTGGAGTCGCCTTCCACGCCAGTGGCTCCCTCCCCTGTTTGTTTCTCTTCTCCTTGTCTTTTCCTGCGCTCCATCAAACAGACAGTGCCAAGGCACTTCCCATGCTTCCCCGGCTCCGGGGTCTGATCCGATACTACTTGGCCGCTTGAGACAGTGTGAATTTTTCAGGCGTCTGAAACTCTCTGGAGGGCAGGAATTTACCTCCAGGGCTGTGGATGTAGGGCAAGGGCAACCACACACTCACTCATACACAGGGAATATGCAGTCCCCAGCTAGCAGGCAGAATGGGTTATCTGGCGGGAATAACATGTTTATGTATTGATTCAGTCACCACTGTTTATGGCTTCCGAGTCCTATTTTCAGTTGAAATACAACTTGATGGCGTTTGCTATTCTATAGGTCAGAATTATGCAATTTTTGGAAATAACACAATTGAAAGTTATAGATTAAAGCTTAAACCAGCACTCTAATAAAATTTTACCAATTCCCTCTGAGCCTGTCTACAGTTAAATCAAAGGGAAAAGGCTCTGAGCCTGGAATATAAACTTTATTATACAGTATTGCCCTATGAACAGTGAACAGAAATATATTGTTGACACAGTGGTAACACTTCGGATTTCATTTGAAGACTACAGTCACAGTCTGTACTTCACTACAAGAAAACCCTGTATTACCCTGTATTCTGTACTGGCTCTCTATTTCACTGACAAAGAGCATGACTACATGACTTTGACTGGCTTTACACGGTAGAGTCTGGTCTCAGGTTTCTGTCTTTGGGAGAAAAATAGTTTGTATTGATTGTGCCTGTCCAACTTAAGATAAAATGTCTTTTGTTTTAACCCTTTCAACCCCACAGACGTGTGCTAGCCTGGGGTAGCGTTGCCAAATCCACAGAACTTAAGAACTTCAAGTGCAGCGTAAATGCCAAGGCTTTAAAAAACATCAAAACTGTCATGGTGGATTAGGTAAAGTGCGGAAAATTTTGGGGAAAGGTGGAAGACTAGTTCTGAAGAAGCACCGAAGCTCTGGATCAAACAGATACAGACATGACATTGTGAGACAGCGGAAAAATATTTCTGTGGGCCGTGGTTCATATCTTTGGATATATCTATATATCTTTATCTATATCTATATCTTTTTTTTCCAGTGGAGTAAGCTATCACCTTGAAGTATTTCTGGCTAACGTGAGCATTTTTTCTTTAGCAGCTGCCTGTTTTCACATCCAACAGGCAGGGAGCAACAAGCATTTATTAGAAGTTGAATTTCTGGTAACTTGGCAAATGTTAGTCCAATATTCACTCTAATCTCACTACAGTAACTACTGTGGAAAACATCTGTCACCAGCTAGTTGCTAACTTGTCTGTCTGCTGTCTGGTGATGGACAGTTAGTGAACGGTGGGTTTAGCTGTGATTTATTTATTTTTTTTACTAGTGATGAACATAAAGTTGATAATGCAGAGTTTGCGTGCCTTGAAACCGAAACAATGAGCTAAGATGCTCTGCAGAACTACAAGTGACAGCAAATTAGCATTATAATTCTCGGTAGGATATAATTATAACCCCTTTCAAATTATACATATCCCTTCCCTTGTAAATTGATCAGTGCAGCTTTAAAGTACTTGCTCTGTATTTGGTGGTTTAGAACATGAAAGTTCTCTAGTTAGTTTACAACTTAGACAACGACATGCAGCTTTAATGGGAATAATAGTAGGAACCACAGATGCTCTTTGACCATATTCCAAGCAGAGAAAGCATATCAAACAAAGAGCTACAATAGACTGTGACACATCTGTGCATATCTAATCTACATGACCACAGGCTTCAGACTTGCATGCAAAACTGGATTGTATTTTAGTCTGCAGTTCACAACCACATAGACTTGAATTCACTAAACCCTGGACCATATGGCAGAGTCTCTGCCTCTTATATCACTCACCAAATTACCAGACCTTTGACTGATAGAAGATGACAAAATAGTATAATTTTGGGACTGGCCACTGATGCTTACTTAATATAATCGCTTCAATTGGCTTCCAGATAATGTTTTGTCTAGTTTCGGCTCAATCCCTCCTCAATGTAGGGATAATGTAACCTCATTAATACTCAGGTACAGCTAGAAGAACCTTGCCATGATCCATGAACCACCTTTAGTGCAATGTAAACGTAGCTGGCAGAATCAGAGAGAGAGCCAGAGAGGACAAAGATGGTCTCAGGCAGTTTCAAGCCGCTGCTTCTGCTAGAGCCACTCGGGCTAATTGAGCCTCTGTGACAGGAAGCCCCGATGGGATGTTGGTGGTCACTGTTAAAAGGGTCAGGAGATTCAAAGTGAAGCGTGACATGCATACAATCAAGTTCAGCAAAGCCTCTGCGTCCTCTCATGGGACAGTGATAAAAACTTAAGTGCCGCCTGCCTGGCATTGGCACTGATGTCCTTTCAGTGGCTAGAAGAACAAAACAGGGACTTGAGGAAGGACACAGAGTTTAAAAAATGTTGTGCAATGTCATACAAGGCTCTAGTGTAATGTGTTGTAGCTACCTGACATTCCCCACCTAGTCAACTGTCACTGGATCTCCCCTGTGTGCCGCACTAATCTGCTCCGCCAACGTGTTGGTTTATTAATAAATGTGTGTGTATGTGTGTGTTTGTATCCCCAGGACCTGTCCACTTTACAGTGCGATGTGTGTATCCTGGTCTTCTCAGTGACTGACAGGCGAAGTTTCCACCGCACCGCCCAGCTCCGCCTCCTCCTCAGGGAGTCCCAGCCACACACACCAATCATCCTGGTGGGCAACAAGAGCGACCTGGTCCGCTCCCGTGAAATCAGCTCAGAGGGTAGGTAGAAGGAGGGGTCACTGGTCTTAGCAACTGTAAGTAGGCACAGCAGGTTAACTTTAGATTTTTCCCAATATTACTAACTCTCCATACCTCTCTTCTAAAGTATTTTCTTCCAACTTCCAGCAAGCTGTAGCTGCTGTCTTAAAACACTCACACCTCTCTGTCCCGCTGATATTACTGTGGCGCTACTTTAAATCCCTTTAACTGTGTTGTTCCTCGAGTTTCTTCAACCAACTTATTAAGATGTTAGCTTAATTAGCTAGCTAACTACAGCCAAAGGCAGCTGTCATTTCAGCTGACGAAATCAAGAGTTGCTGCGACGTGTTGACTGATATCAACACGTTGTTTCAAAATTACTAAGACTTTGTGGTGGTAAAGCTGCAGCCGTTATCTTTATAAACTCCATAGTGTATGTGCCGTGTGAGAACTGAAAGCCTGACAGACATAGCAACAGTAACTAAGGGGAAGCGGAGCTTATGGTTTTGCCCAGACTTAAGCAACGATGAGCAAACACCAGGCTGTTGGGTGAATGATGGACGGAGAGAAGCACAAAAGAAAGATTTGAAATGCACTCTTTTGTTGTTCCCCAAATGCAAATTCTCAAATGGAAAATTTCTTTTAATCTAGTAGATATTGATGCTTTTTCAGTTGGCGAAAAATGCATAAGAGTATAAAACCCCTCAAAATGCATATGTATAGCTAATGGGCCCACACACACACACACATGTACTCACATTCCCCCTCAGAGAGGAGAGGTAGTGTGTTTTGTTCAATTACTCATCTATCTATCTTCTATTTACCCTATTTTCTGTCCTTCTCTGTTTTGGCTCATCTGTCTCTCTCCCCTGGTATTTTACCATAAATCTTCCTCCAAGCCGACATCGTCTCCATTAGAAGGACTCTTGGGGGATCTATCTTTGATCAGCAAAATCAATTTCCTCACTGTTTACAACATCCAAGGATAAATGCTCTGTTGGTAAACTCCTTATGGGAAGAAAATTCTCTCATCTGTTATTGTTGTAAAGTGATGCAAATATACACAGTCTATAAAAACTATTTACCCTCTTGGATTTTTTTTTTTTAATGTTTTACCACATTGAATCTCAGTGGGTGTAATTGGGATTTTTGACAGCAATGAATAGAAATAGAAAGACAACAATGCAATGAGACCTAAATCAAACACAAAGTAATTGATTACTTAAGTTTTCACCTCTTAAACTGTGTGTGCGGCTTAAACGAACAAAAGCTAAAGTGTCAACATTGATTGACAAAACTAATTTTTTTACTCTGATTTGTTGCAGGGATGTGGCAATAATTGCCCACCATGAAACAAAACAAACACCAGTTTTAGCTCAGTGGGGCAACAGCTATGACAATAGCAAGGTTTCCATCCAAACACAGCACAGAGACTAACAGAATTTCAAGTTAATGTTCATCTCCATCCACCTTTGTTCTGCGAAATTTAAGAGTTACGATAAAGGAGTTAAGATAAACAGCTGGTGGCGCTGATTTTCCAGTTGGGTGCCACTAAACCATCGCTGAGGAAGACGGCGCAACAGGATGGCGTAATAAAAAGAGCGAAAAACAATGTAGAGCCGTAATTCAGCTGTAAGTGTTTCTGTTGCACTATGACGTATTTCGCTTCAATCAATGCACCAACTTTACCCACTTCAGCCAAGCATAAAACTTTTTTTGATGATATTTTGAGACCTAATGTAATGTCAGTTTGTCAGTTGCCATGGTCCAGACTGAAATATTTCAACAGATACTGCATCGATTGCCATGAAACTGTGTTTCCCAGAGGATGAATCAAAATGACTTTGGTGATCCCTGACTTTTATCGCAGCACCAGCACCAGCAGGCTGCCAGAGTGAAATGTCTCAACAGCTGTTGGGAAGATTGCCGACTTTCATGTCCCTCCACAGGATGAACTGTAATCACTTTGGTGATCTCCTGACTTTTCATCCAGTCGTATCATCAAGTTGAAATGTTAATTTGACTTTTGTTTATGAACAAATATCTGAAAAAAATGACATAATTACAATAATAAATGGGTGTAAACAAGTTTCTGGTGTACAAATGGATATAAACTTCCACATTCAGTAGACTCGAGGATATAAAAGCTGCTAAAGTTGCCCCAGTTAAATACTGAGAGGGATGAATGCTTAATGCAGCTATGTTGTATTTAATTTAGATAAACGAGTATGAGATTTGGTTTCACTTTGATACTGAGGAGTATTTTCCAGTCGATCATTGTCAAGAAATCCTAATTCCATCAAATGTGATTTAATCTAATAAAAAATAAAATAAAACATGAAAAAGTCCAAGGGGATGAATATTTTTATATGTGTCAGGGGCTGCTTTGGTGCAACTACTGCAGAATGAATAAATCCTGTAGATCTGAGAGCTCGCTTTACTCTGGTAAATATCACTGTTGGGCAGCGAGCTTTACAGACTTTCTACATTTTGGCATGCAACACTGAAGCAAGGTCTTGGCAAAACAAATTCACTGAAGAAGAAACACAGTGCTGAACTGAATCCATTTAGTGATGCTTAAAAAATCCACTGAACAGAGATCAGACAACCTGCCCACGGCAGGTTGTAATTTTACTGGACTTTATGAGTGAATTTACATGGAGCATGTATCAAACAGGAAGTGGGTGCAGAGTGGCTGTAGTTGACAAGGGAGGAGAAGAGTGACAGCAGAGTTTGACCCTGATTTTAATTTGTATTCATGGTGTATATATATATATATATATACATTTGAACTCTCATGGTCACCCCTGCAGTTTCTGTCTACCCACAGCACACATTTGCTTTGTGAATGTCTCACATCATTAAGTCGAACATAAAGACTCCCGTATTTTTCTGCATTTCCAAACATTACCTTATCCTTCCCTATCTAATCCTCTGGAGAGGTTCCATCTCTCTGTGTCCCTCGGCTCCGACAGTGGGTTTTTTGTTGCGTTTTGTTTTTTTCCCAGATAGCACATCTCTGTTTGAATTATCTCCCTCTCACAGGACGCTGCTCTTACCATCATTATGTTTGTACTCGCCATACATGCGCAACTGCCTGTGTGAACACATACGCAGCAAAGGCACAAACAAGCCAGACGCCCAACCCCACATCTCTCTCCTTTCTGCTGCTTGATGTGAGTGAGGCTGTTTCACAGCGAGGACTGTGATAAGAGAGACGAGAGGAGGGAGGAGTGACAGAGGCAAGGGTGAATGCATGAGAATGGTGTGTGTATGAATGGGAGAATAAGAGATGTGTGTCAGGCATTATGTGCACGGAGAGAGAGAGTGAGGCTGGTTTTGCTGTCCTTGAAAGAAAGATTGACTTTTTAAACCTTCACAATGAGGATTTTTTTTTTTTTTTTTTAACAAAGGGAAGCTATGTGGCAAGTGTTACACAAATGCACTGGCTTTTCCATACGTCATTTAAGTGATGTTAACCTCAGCTTGAAATATTTGATATTAGTGTGTCTATGTCTTTCCCTGCCAGTATGAAAGAGATTGCTCTGCAGCTCTTTTCTCAAAGACATTCCCGGCGAACTGCCCATTCTGTCAAATGCTGCCTTTTTGTGCCTGTTCAGAAAAAGCTAAATTGCCTCCCTAAAGCACTGCTGCTGGTTGTGAGAGACTTTAAACTCTCATTTGTCATCTGCAGAAACTGTCAGAAGCCACATACAGTAGAAATTTAAATTATGACTCCTTAGAAGAATCTGTCCAGATGGGAAAGTAATGGTAGCCTGTTAGCATCCACTTGACTCAGCTTTTAATGTTAAAGCACTTTGATGTTACCTCTCACCTCTGCAGCTCTACATTCTTTTTAGCTCTTTCTTTATTGGTTTCCTTTGGCTGTTTTGGACTTCTGACTGTAGGTATGAGTGAAAGCCTCATATAAAACCACAGCGAAGAAGCTAGGCTAGCCAAGTGTTCACTGCTGTCACCCCAAAACAGACGAGACGTGAAGTAAATGAATAACTGGAGAGCAATTTGTAAAGCTGAAGGAGCTGTCGGAGGCTGAAGCGAAGCTAAATAGAAAGGCTAGAAATACGGCTAAAATGTGATGCAGACGCTCCGTGTGCGCTAGGTGTGGAGTAGTTCGCTAGCACATTAGCCATATCATCTTCATTAGCTAGTGATGGGCAGACGATACCAAAGCTTGTTTCACACCTATGAATCACACTGTTTCAGTGCAGTCCCACAACATGACCGATGCTTCAACCGTCACTGATGCTTCAAAGAGGGCTTCATTCAGTTTAACGCTTTAACGCTTTAATGCTAAAGTTGTGCATTTAAACAATCTGCTCGAGGGCTTTTCACACTGGCGGAGTACACCAGGAAAACATTAGAATGTGTATGAGAAGAAATGTGCCTGATTCCAGGACAGCATATCACATTTCATTGCGATTCATAAAATCTCACTTAAATAACAATCAGGAAGTAGTTTCACTGTGGGGCTACACTACATTACCAATAATGTGTTATAATGTATTTTGTCAACCAAACTATTTCATATAATCAGGCCTTTTGAACAAACCATTAATTATTTATTTGAGTGTAGCACATTGCTAAAAAAGTATTTTATATTTACTGAGGCTAAATAGCACGAGGACTTTTATTGCACACATATGAAACAATTAGATGAGTGATGTATTGAAGATCCGCTATAAGTCGTAAATCACTATGTGACTGTGCCTGCTGAGTTTAAAGCCCCATATCATATTTTTATTTTCATCAGAAACAGAAAGAATGGCTGAAAGCTTTTCCTCTGACTCCGTCTGCCCATCATTACCATGAGATGACAGTTTGAGTTTCTCTGCCCCCTGGTGGCCAAAATTTACTTCATGCCTCTTTAATGTTATTAAACATAAAGTAAAAGTTTGGTCTCTTAATCCTAAAAAAAAAAAAAAGCATTTGAAGGGTAATAGTTGACGATCGAACTACAGTTGATAAATTAATGTTAATCCTCAAAACTTAATTACCATTAT